TTCCTTCTGGTAGCCCTTCGCTTGCCGCTGAGACAGGAGGGAGGTGGAGGGTGTCGAATCGGTCCCGTTTGCTGGGGTCTGGCCAGCAAAATGGAACTGAAATGGGGCTTTGGGAACACTAAACCCATGAGGAATTCCTGATGAGTTTTCATGAGAAGTGAAGGAAGGGTTTGGGGTTTTTTTGCCGGCATTTAAACTCAAGCTTTCTGGGAGGACGTTTACTTGCTCTGTCCTAACCAAAATATCTGTTTTTCCTGACAAGCAAGGCATCTTGTTCAATTTTCAACTGAAACACGTGAAAAAACAAGTGAAATAGGGTTTTTCCCCCCGCCCTTTCCTCTCCATTTTCCCCCCTCTAACAGACATAAACAGGGTTTGTGGGAAATGCCCCTTGCAGCCATCACAGCTGCTCCTCCTGGCAGCCCCAGGAGAGAAGCCGGGGCTCGAACGGAGACAAACCCGGGCTGCTTCTGCGTCCCCTCTGCCCTGGGTCTCCCTCATTACCCGTCCCCGTGCTCACTGCCCTCCTTCACCCTGTTTTATAGCTGGGAAAGGCCACTTCACCTGGCTCCTCTTGCAATATCGGCGTCCTTCTCCTCCGTGGCAAAGGCTGGCTGTCTTTTCTTAAAAGTCTAGGAAACTTTAGACTTCAGAGTCCTACTAAAAATACGAATCGTTTAATGATAGAGACAGTGATATGAAGTGACGGAGTAAATATTGCTTTCCGTCACCTTGCATCTGCATTGCGCCATGGTTTTTAAGAAATCACATCCAGCTGCTTGAGAGATTTAGGAGATGAATTACTGAAAACCCGCAATTAAAACCATCGCACACATGAAAGGCCAGGTTATTTATATGTAGTTGCGTTAGACGTAGGGTAATTAAGGAAAGATTAAATGCCCGTGCGTATTTATTTACACCAAACAGCTGCTGCAACTAATTGCTAATTCACCGCCCACCCTGCTCGGCTGCTGTTACCAATGGATCACGCCAAATACCAAAGCCTCACGCTCGGGCGAGCATTTCTATTTGCAAGGTCATTTCTGGAGATGGCTTTGTAAGAGAAACCTAAATACACCTGATAAACATCACGGGCATAAATGGGGCATCAGGGGAGCATCCTCCTGCTCAGGCTGCTGCATGACCTGCCCGCGGGCAGCGCTGCCTCTCGCTTGGCCGGTCGAGGGTGGCATTTATTGCTGGAGATGTGACCGGGATTCTCAGGGAAAGGAAGCTGCTTTTGCTCGCTTTGCCCCATGAACCCTCCTGAGCTCTGTTTTCTCTGATCTGTATCTGTATCTGAGCCTGGATTTAATTAAGTCCGGTCTCCTTTGAAACCCAGGGGGGTTTGTTCCATGTATGGGAATTTTCTTCTTCTGGAGAGAGCAAGGTAACTGCCGGCATCTGAAATCATTGCTTCAGCCTGGGTCCTTTAACATCATTTCATGAGCTGGAGCAAAAAGAACATCTACTGGTTTTTTTCTTGCAGTCCCTCAGCCCCTACACCTGCCTTCCCCCTGCCTCCACGCCTGCCTCCACGCCTGCGCGACCTCTCAGTTCCCACAGATCCCAGCAGGATTCGGCGGCTGACCTGCTCTCGGCGCTGAGCCAAGAGGAGCGAGACCTCATCGAGCCCGTTATAGCCTTGGGCTACCCCACCCGCAAAGCCATCCTCACCCTCCAGAAGACTGGAAGGCAAAGCTTAAGTCAGGTTGGTGGAGCTGGCACGGTGCCGCGGAAAGCTTTTGATAAAGAAAAGCTTGATTTTCATGGAGAAAGGGATGGCTGTCTTGCTTGGGGTGGACTTCTGATGGCCTCGGGTTTCCCACTTTGGTATCAGACCTCAGCTGACAGGGTTTTCCATGAGATCACACGGCTGCGCTTTTGCTGTAATAAAATAGCAATGAGTCGCCCTCAGCTTTTCAGCGAGTAATAAGGGCCGGGTAACGTTATCTTTCCAATCTGTTGTATGGAGCATGGTGTTCTTTTGAAGTACAAATCTTGCCCCCGTATATGGAAACTTTTTGCACATAATTTTTTCCCGGCTGTTACATTCGTATGATTATTGCCATGGCTCATCCTGTCAGAGTGGGACTGTACGAATACCTTGGAGATTTGTCTGGGCTCTCTCCAAAACACAAGTTCCCCGCGTTGGAGCAACCCAGGACTCTGTGCAAGCATTGCGGCTGGGTCCCAGAGCTCTTTTCCTGAGGAACCCTCTATAATAACCTGGAATTTATTGAAAATAACTCCTACCCCTGGTATCTGAGTACATCACAGCTCGCTGTGCTGCATCCCAATTCCCGAGGTCTCTGCTTGTCCAGACAAACCCCCAGTGGTCCAGGTGGTCTTGGAGCATCCATGCCGTGAGGGATGCTGCTGGCTCTGACCCTCTGGCTTGGCAAGCTTGGGGCTGGACCTGCCCATCCCAGCGGAGGACTTAATAGGGCTAAATTATCCAAGTAGCTCTTGCAGAGAGAGAAGGGGCTTGATCGCAGCTTAGCAAGAGGGATGTCCGCCGCGCTGTCGTGCCAGGGAGCAGGAGCAGACCCCGGGCAGAGGTGTGAGCAGGCACGGCTCCGAGCAGCCGCTGTCGGTGTCAGTCTCCTTCCCGTGCTCCCGGGGAGCTGCCTGTGCTGCGTGGGCCAGCTCTTACCCGTCTGGTCGGCGCACGAAGCTGCTCTGCGGCTGAGTCATCCTGCAGCTTCTGGCTCCCTCCTGAGTCACCCCCAGCTGGACCAGCCTCCCCAGAACCTCGCCGGTGTTTCAGGCGAGCGTCGCTGCAAGCCAAGGTGGGAAGGGAAGCTTTATTTCTTCAATTCATAAAGGTTTCACCTAGGCAGAGGGAGATGGGCAGAGCCCAGCCCACATTCTTTGCACAGAGTTGTGCAAGGGTGTCTTGTAGGAACTGCTGGCTTCAATATGAAGAAGCAGTGCATCTTATGAAGGATGGAAATGGGTACAGTCTGCTCCCTTCTGTATAAACACCGGGACTCCCATTCCCTTGGAGAAGAGATTAATGCACCAAAATACAAGGTCTGCCTTATATCCTGTGCCTTCTTCACCAGCAGTTCCCATCTTTCCCATTTATGCCCAATACAGCCATGATAAAATGTAAAGCCTAGCCCTTCGTGCATCTCTTACAAGTACAAAACTACCAAATTAGGCTAAACCTTCCTGGAAAATATGTTGCAACTCCAGTTAAAAACAAGAGCTGTGGGCGCTCTTCATTGCTTGCTGGTGTCACGCGGGGTTTCAGTGTGTGACGATGACAGCTTCAACCATGAAGATTGATTGTAGTACCAGATGGTAGCCAAAAATTACTCAATTTCTTTGCAGTGTCAAGTCAAACTGGCAGAGCCCACCCTGGTGGAGAAGGCAAATCTGCTGCCTTAAGGAGGCGATGCCTTCTCAATTTTGGTGGAAGAGACTCTCTAAAAGGCTCAAGCAGGATTAGTTGCCCCAATGTGCCAGAGGTTCATCGTTTAGGATGTCATGGCCAAGGGCTAAACCAAAAATGCATCATTGCATTTTGATAGGTGATGATCGATCAATCAAAAATGCATCGTTGACCTGTGGAGCTCTCAACGTACGTGTGAGCTGAGACATGACAGATGGCTGCAGCTGGGCAGCATCCATCTCCCCAGATAGCCGTAAGCACGGGGTTCAGAGCAGGGCGTTCACCACGGGACACAGCCCACTGGCCATGCACGGATGGGGAGCCTCTTCCCATGGACTGTTGGACTCTTGCGTAGTCAATAATACAGCAAAATATATGCTCAGCTGTGCTTCCATAATGTGCTCCTGCCCCTTTCCTCCTCCAGAAGAACTTGCTGTCTCACCCCAAGCAACAATCTAGATCTTCAGCGCTTCCTACAAGCCTTGCATCAGCCGTCCTCACTGGCGGTGGCTCCCCAAATGTTTCCAGCGCTTGTAGAAGCTGCGTTCTCAGTGGCAGCATTTGCGGCAGCGAGTTGAGCAGGACTGTCTGCTGCGGTGCTGGCTGGGGTCTCCCTGTCCCCCTGGGGAGCCTCTGTTCCTGGAGGCTCGGTTCCTGAGCGGTAGTACCCACCGGGTTTGCATGTCCCTGGCTTGAACCCTGCTGCAAGACTGGGGAGATGTTTACCCTGTTCCTCCACGATGAAATCAGCATTTGGGTCTTTGGTGGTGTTTGCTCGTGGTATTTCTATGCCAGCAGCTTATAGTCCATGGTCCAGGTGGGTTGGTGAAATGGTTGGTGGTCAGGCTTTGCTCTTCTTAAGCAGCCAGTTGTTGGAGCACCTGAAGCAGGGACCTCATGGGGATGGGCCTTTCTGATGGGCATCAGCCAAAGTGGCAGAGGGGCATGGAAGATAAAACCCACCAGAGGAGGGATTTCCTTCACGTCACTGCACATGCTCGTCTTTGATGTGAAAAGCTGCATTGCTGCACATAAGCTCAAGTAGCGGCAAATGAGGGAAGAGATAAATCAGCAGGTTACTGATCTACCAGAGCCTGGAGGTCTCTTCCTGCACAAGCAGTTTGTGATGAGGTTATGTAGCGGATAAAGCCGAGCTCTCCTGAGGTGCCTGTGCTGGAGGAACTTCATCTCTGAGTGTGATGAGGAGCCTCCTTGAGAGCTACAAGGGGAGAAGGAACTTCAAGAGGGCAGTGGCACCTCCTCCTCCTCCCCAGCAAGCAGTGGGGCTGGTACCAGACCCAGGGGGTTAGTAGGTCATAGTATTTAAAAACCTGCTTCTGTTTAGTTTTGTGTATTCTCCAGGAGATATATATGTATTTTTTTTAATGATAAAAATCATCGAGTTGACAACAGCACCAATTTCATGCTGGGCTTGAACAGCACGCCAGGCTGCCAGGACAGGGCATGAGCACGGCGAGTGGCTGTCCCTGCTGCGACAGGGCAAGAAAATACAGCAGTGATCTGGGGTCTTTAGTTTGTACGGTAACGAGGAAGATAAAAACAGGTTATGAATGCCAATGACTGTCCGATTTTTGACTTAATAAGCTGCTCCTTAAGGCTGACATTTCTTAAAATTCTTACTCAGCTCTTCAGCCGAACTAGATCAATTCAACGTCTGAGGGACTTTTTTGGCTTTTTCATATGTTTTATGGTCTTTTACTGAGTCCTTCTCCTTGGCTACGGCAGTGCTGGGGAGGGTGGAGGTCTGTGTGCTGGTGGATCTGGGGAGATAGGAATCAGCTTCTCCTTGGATGAAGACGGCACGGCTTCGGGGAGACCCGTGGGATGTTTTTATTCCCCCTGCTATTGTATAGCTCATTTATTATTGTCTGTCCCATATGTTTTTGGACAGTGAATGATTCTCATGGTATTTAAAAGATACCGCTGGGAATAGTCCTGTCAGCACTCCAAGAACAATGAGGAAAGCCAAAAATAACTGTTTACTTTCAGTAATGACAGCACACGGGTCTCCCCTGGGGTGGGTTTTGTGCTTGGACCCTGGAGCAAACCCACAGGCTCCCGGACCCCGGCGCATCAAAGGGACGCTGGGTCGGCCGAGGGTAGGCATCTCACTGGGATAGGCTCTGCTTCACCCCCCAGCCTGGAGGTCGTCGCTTTGGATCTCAGATGGTTCAGATGTTTGGTTTGCTCCTCGTCCTCCCTCCGCCTTGTTCCCGTTCCCACCCCAGGAGGGTGGGGGGGACCAAACGCTGTCATCTCGCGGTGGGAGTCCTGCTGACAGACAGACCACCCTGGCCGAGCATCAGACGGGAGCTGGCAGGACAGCTGTGCCCCAGGTCCTCCCCACGAGCATGTCCCTGGCAGGTGGCAAGGTGGGCTCCTGAATGCACTTGTGCCCCGTGTCTGCGAGGTTGGATTAACCCTGGCTGTCGTCTTCTGCAGTTCCTGAGCTACCTGGGTGCCTGTGACCGGCTGCTGAAGCAGGGCTACGAGGAAGGGCAGGTGGAGGAGGCCATGGAAATGTTCCAGTACTCGGAGAAAAAGGTCAGAGTGGGGTGGCACAGCCCGGCCCTTTGTGCTGCATCCTCCGGGCTCGCTTTTCCAGTGGGCTGCACGCTCCGCTCCTCCTCCGCCGCGCCTCGCGCAGCCTCCCGGCAGGTCAGACCCATCGCCCTGCAAGCAGTGAGCCCACCCTCGCGGCAGATCCCCGGGGCAGCGTCACCATAAGGACTCCCCCGGGAAGGACACCCGCTCCATCGCTCTTCTCCATCCATCCTCTCACCCCGCCGTGCAAGCACGATGCTTGCTCAGCACCTGCGCGGGCAATCCCCCACCCCGAGCCCACCAGCACCCACGCTCGCTACCTCCCTCCCGGCTCCCCCTTCGTATTCACCCCCCAGGGAGAAGAACCGTGGTGGCATGCCGGGTGTTGGTCTCCATCACCCATCTCCTCCTGGGGGTAGCGAAGAGCTGGGGTGGGAGAAAAGCTGCTTGAGATTTGGGCTGGCGCTGTTTGCCGTGATGCTGACGGCACGTAGGATTGCTGGCTCGCTGCTCGTCAGGGCTGTGGCAGCGGGAGGGCGCCCGGGTCTCAGTGTCAGGCGGGGGGTTATTTATTGAGGACGTGGCTCCGGGAGATGTTGTGGTGCTGGGGCCCAGCCTGAGCAAGGGGGGAAGCAGGACAAATTAATTCCAGCTTGCGCTCATTGCCTTTCCCCGGTTTCTTTATAACACAGGCAAACGCTTGCATGGAATTAATATTAAACTTTATAAGGAATAAGTGAAGCTAGAGGCTGACTTTGTTATATACTTCTTATTTAAAAAGTTGATGTAAAGGCACACTTTTAAATGCTAGCAGTGGTATGCGTGCCCTCACTCTGCTGTTGGCAGCGGCACCAGCAGTGCCCTTCAGCGGTAATACAACCCGGCCAGCTCGTCTGGCTGCAGCCTCGTCACCCAACGCTGTTTCTGCTGCAACTCTACGATAAATCCATCCTTTACACCCCATGATAACATCACTCCTTTCTTTTCCTTCTTCCTCCAGGCAGCTGAATTCTTGCATTTGTTAGCTCAGTTTAACGATATGGGTTTCCAGCAAAATGAAATCAAAGAAGTTCTTTTGCTTTGTGGGAATCAGAGGGAGAAGGCGCTGGAAGAGCTTGTGATGAAAACCCAGTGACCGGCATCCTGCACCCCACTCACAGCTTCTCCTCTCCAGACCAGACCACCGACGGACTCGGGTGGGTCGGCACGCGCTTACCCTTCTGCTGCTCCATCCCCACCCCGAGCCGCATGGCTCACCAGGCACAAACCTTCAAAGCACTGGCTCAGCGTCTCATCTCATTTTATGGACATCCATCATAAGCGTGTTTGTCACTGTAGTAAGGCAGAGGCTTTATAGCAGGAGTGTTTATCTCCTCACCCACACATCTCCGCCCATGATCGTCTCAGCTGCTTACATTAGATGCAATAAGATCCAAACCGCCTTCAGCTTAGATTTTGCAAAACACAAAACAAAGTTTTCTTCCTCCACCTGGGGTAATGGGTGTCATGTTTTCAACTACAATCAAATGTGGATTCTAAAAAGATTATATAAATCTACAGAAGAGATTGTTTTCATAAAAACTGACAGCTTCTGCAGAAACATTTGTTGGTCCTTGCTTGGGAAGACTCTCAGCTGACTTAGTCATGGTTGAATATCGTAATTGAAATCCAGTCCGATCACATTAGCTTCTGCTTTTAAACCAGAACCTTGAGAAAAATACACAATTCAATGAGGGTAAGGAAAGAAAACGGGCTGCTCTTGCTCTAGGAATATATCAAGTTTATCCAGTGCAATGAAAAATGGCTTATGCAAGGGTTTGTGCGTGGGCAATTTCATGAAATCAGAACAGAGAGATGGGGAACGGCTCGGCTGCCCTCATGCTCTGCCCAAATCAGGAAAATTCAGGGGATGCTTCCCTAAACTGTGGAGACAGTGGCTGCAAATGAAGTTAAGTACCAATGTCAGGATCAGGAAAATCTGGATGCCTGGGGGAATTTTTGTGTGTAACTGAAGGATGGAGAATGGGAGATTCAGATCACCTTACAGGATGTGTCTCTTGGCTTGGCAGTGCAACAGCAGACAGTATTTTCACATAAAAGTATATTATTTTCCTGTGAATTAGATACAGATGCAATTTCTTTGAGTAAAGATGGTTGGAAGGGTTCTTCTGAAATATATTTGTATCTTTTCCTGTGAAAATGCCAACTGGCACAACCTAGCAGAGAAAATCCTTAATTAGTTGCATTAGTACCATTTTTCCGTTGTATCCTTCCAAATGATCTCCCAGCCCAACGTGCTGCCATCGAGTTAAAACACCGTGTCCCTCCTCTGTGTATCTCTAGGTAGGTGCCAAACACCAGCAGGAGGGTACAGCCCTCCGTGGCTGCCTTCATCCTCGCCTGGATGCAGTGAGGAAACTTGGCATCCAGGTTTTGGGGGACTTGACCGGTCCAAACCCAAGGATGCTTTATGCCTTCTCTTCTTTAATGGCATTGAAAAGGAAAATGTGGCACCTTGTATTGGCCAGGGGAGATATTCGTGGGGAGCTCACAGGCTCTTCTTGGAGCTCCCAGCCCTGTTTTTCCTCCGGCTTTTCCTTGGTTATACAAGCTTTTATTTTTGATACGGCCCTTATAAGGCAAGTCCATTCTACAGAGAGCTTTTCATTACGTTCATCCTTGCCAAGATGATGTCACCTTAAAAAAGAAACTTGCAAAAGGTTAAACTGTGATTAGATAGATCGCTTCGCCTCAAACTGTAATCTTTGGCGGAGTAAACACCATGAAGATTGAAAGGGGAAGATAATGGTGCTGTGCTGGTGCCAGTAATGCGTAACGTTGAGGGCTAAAATCTGGTAGAGCGAAGCACATTTGCAGCGTCGTGCCCACTCACTGTGCAAAGGCTGAGCAGCCTCTTGCTCTTGTTAGAGATTTGCTTGGTCCTGGCTCATCACTTTTTCCCCCTGCTTGCAGAGGTAAGAACTGTATCTTTTTTCCTCCCTGTGCACCTAAAATTATCTTGTGGTACTTTCTGTATCATGGTCTGGATTAATGGATGCAACAAATTACTCCTCGCTTGGGAGCTTCCATGCCACACTCAACAGCACCTGCCAAGACCTGCTCTTTCCCCCAGGTGCTACACTTAAAATCTTAAAACCTTGTGCATTTTGTCGGCAAATGTCTTTGTAAACCCCTGAACTGTCAGGAAAACAGTGTGTGAAGGTGGGGGAAGATGTTGTATTGCTTGGTGGCGTCAGAGCTGGAGGGAAGGGGAGAGCCTGCCAAGGTTCAGCTGTCCCGGGTTAGCCACAGGAGCCCGTCATAAATATTTTAGTAACGGAATGATTTTAACTTTATTTTAATAGAGGGCTTAAGCTGTTTGTTCAACTTAAAATGGTTTTAAAGCAGTGTGCTTCCATGTGCTGCTTTCAGTTAGGGGAAGACAGTGTGAAATGTTAATTGGCTTCGCCTAGGAAGGGAACAAGGATGTGACTTGATGGGCTTTCTGCTTATTGTCCACCCGAGGAGAGTAACGCCGCTCAGCTAATGCTGCAGCCCGGTGTAGAGCTGGGTGAGGGCCGCCAGTGTCCCCTGCCTTCCCCATGCCACTGTCAGACCTGCACCTCCACCAGCTGCCGTCCCCATCCCGGGGGTGACAGCGGAGTGGTGGCCTGGCCCGGTGGCAGAGGGCAAATGGGGACAAGATGCATCAAGTGGTTCTCAATCTGGACAGGGATACGAGCTGGGGTTTTCTTGTTTGTTTTGGTTTGTGGTTGTGTTGTGTGGGTTTTTCTCTCAAATGCGGTAACTGTTCTGAAAATGCTGAGAACTTGGCGAGGAGCGGCAGTGGAGGTATTTGAGGCATCCCAGCTGGTATTCTCTTCCGCTCCATCTTGACTGGGACGGCATGGGCAGCCCGAAGCCTGCCCCATGGATAGGAAATCAGCTGAGCCATAGTCTGGGTTTGCTGCTGTCCTGGTCTCCGCAGGTCTCCCAGCAGCATTGCGGTCACAAAGGGGACCTCTACCTTCTCCAGCCATCCCCAGAGCTGGCGTGGAGGCCTAACAACCTTCGACGCTAGGGGATGGTGTCTCATGAGAACAGCTCATCTGGCTACGGAGCTCTGCTAATGGAGAAGACCTCTGCAAGCCTGGCATCGCCATGCAATGGTGGTGCTCACCCCTCTCCTTCCCTTTTTGCACCCTTTTGTATTTCCGAGGTTTGCCATGTCCTAAAAAGACCCTGTCTTGGCTCGAATGAGCCTCTGATGAGGGCCACCACTTGCCACCCCATTGGGTCTGTGCTGGGGCTTGGCAGATGAGCCTGGAGAAGACGATAGCTGGCTAACACACTCGGTGGGATGATGGGTGGTTCCCAGGTCCCAGAACCCCCTCAGTGCCTTAAGCACCTGATGCCCAGATGTTTTCCTTCACCCCCACATCTCCCCTCTCCCCTCCTCCTCTCAGGACCCCGCTGCAGCCGGGAACGGCCGTGGAGACCTCCCCAGGGAGCGCGGGGCTGTGTGGGAACTGCGCTCCCACGTACGGCTCTGAAATGGAGCTGCAGCTGAGAAAGCATTCAGTGGGCAGGAGCAAGCCTTGACGTGGATCCCTGTTAGGAGGTATTTTCCTTCAGAAGAGCAGGGAAAGAAAAAAAACAAAGCCCAAGAGTAATGAAAAACACTGGGGTTTTTATAGCTTTCCTTTTAATTCCAGGATATAACGAATGATTTCCCATCGGAACAGAGAGGAGGTGGGATGCTGCACACCTTCAGAGAGTGGTCAAAATAAATAGAACCCATGTTTGCATCTCATTGGTATCTGTCCTCTGCAGAAGCCACGAAGCCCTGCACGCGGATGGCTCGGGAGCCCATGTCTGGTAGGACTTTGCACACAGCCTGTGCAGTGCAGGCAGAAGCAGGCAGCAGCTGCCTGCAGCCCCTTTCCCTCTGGCAGGGTCTAGCGTCACCTCCGAAGTCCAACGTGATGCATTCCTGGACCCAAGCACAGCTCCACGAAGGAGGAGAGGAGCCCAGGGGAGCGGTGGGTGCAGAGCCGAGGCCACGTGCAAGGAGAGCATCCCAAGGTGGGACGGGGGGGGCCACCTATGTCGCAATGTCGTGGTCACGCTTCGGCAGCCGCAGGAGGAAGGTCTGCAGGGAGCCACTGCGTGGGAAGCCCGCCCACTCCTTCTTGAACCTCCAGGTCTCCTCTTCCACGGAGTAGAGGAGCGTCAGCATCTTGTTGACAGTGTAGACGGTGTCACCCCTGATGACGGCAGTGAAGAGGGCTCCTTTGCTGTTCATGAACTGCCCGGGCAGGGCAGTCCACTGCCGCGACGTCAGGTTGAAGCAGTCAATGACACAACGCAAGAAGTCATCCGAGGGGCCATTGCGCATGACGTAGAGGTTGTCGCGGTGGGCCACCATGCAGTGCCCATAGCTCTGGTGCCGCTTGAGCTCGGTGACGGGAAGCCATGTGTCTTGCTGGGTCTCGTACTCATAGATGACGGTGGTGTCCAGTGGCTTCCACAAGCAAACGAAGATCTGCCCCATGGCTTGGGCGCAGGGTGCTGCCGCGCTCGGCTGTGGCAGGTCGGAGACGAACGTCCAGGTATTGGAGGCCACGTCGTACCTCTCCACGGACTTCAGGGAGATCTTCTCGTACTCCCCACCGATGGCATAGAGGTAGCCCTCATGGCCCACCAGCCTGACGTCGTAGCGCAGCTGATGAGGGCTGGGGAACTCACTCCAGGCGTTGGCATTGGCATCATAGCAGAAGCTGCTCTCCACCACCTGCTTGCTGGCCCCGTAGACACCACCCACTATGTAGATCTTATTATCCATGGTCGCCATGCCAGCTAGGAACGTGCTGGCGCTCAGCGGCAGGCAGGAGAGGGTCCTCCACGTGTTGGTTTCCTCGTCCAGGTAGCAGATGGTCCTGGAGAGGTCCTCCAGGAACTCGAAGGACTTCTGCCACGAAGGTGCTGGGCAGGAGGGTCTCCACGTAGGCCAGCAGGTCATCGGAGAGGCAGTCCAGGTACTCCTCCAGCTCGGCGTAGCTGTCCCTGATGTAGAGCGCGGCGCAGTGGAAGAGGTCCAGGAGACCGAATATGGCGGCGGCTTGGTACAGCAGG